TGGAGGCAAAGCCGAGGATCAGGCCGCCGTGGATGAAGGAGACGCGGAGGGTGGCTGGGTGGCAGGCGTCGCCTGGTGCTGGGCCTTTTGCGGGGAGCAGCCAGAGCAGGTCTTTGGTCATGGCTGATGCGGGAACGCCGAGGTTTGAGAGATCGTCGAAGGTCCAGGGGTATTGCGTCGCGTCGAGGACTTGGAAACCGAACACCTCGTCGGGGAAGTGGTCGAGGTTGGAGTCTCGCTCCTTTGCAGAGTAGACAAGACTCGGCAGCTCACCATCCAGGGCATGGATCATCTGGCCTCCGAAGCCCGGTATCAGTGAGAAAGTCCGAGCGAGCCGAGCCTTGAGATATTCCACAGCAGCCTTTGTGTCGCTGTATGATTTCTTTGCGAAGGGGAAGCCAAAAGCCTGCATCATGTAGTTTTGGGGCGCTGTGTAATCGAGGGCCGTCAATGGCATCACCTCGGTCAGGGTAGCGACCCAAGCGTCTTTGCGTTGTTTTCGATCCATGTTGTGTCTAAGTTATGAGGTGATAGTCTCAAGATAATGAAATGTTGTAGCAAGGTAGGTATCCAACCAAGTGATTCAGGGGGATCGTGGGGTAGTGTACGAGTCAGGAGGTCAACGTAAGGGAGGCAAGGCGTGCTGATATAGTTCCCAGTCCCCCTTTTGTGGCTTTCTTTCCGTTTGAACATTCTGGCTGTGTACACATTCTCTACTCCTCTTTGTTACTATCCTTTGCCCTCGCAGGCACCTGCCCACCGCAACAACTTTCAGGAAACGCCATCCTATTCGACTATTTTTAACCATAGGTATGCTGACCATTCTAGTGAGACACCCTCGCACGATATTCCCGCCGTGTGGTGCCAGCAAGTCATCCTGGATGCCCGGTCAATAAGGTGTGTTGTTCGGTGGCTTTCCCGGCAGGGCTTTTTTGTCCCGAGGGTCAGCAGTGACAGGGCCTTTGGCGCCAGAGGCCCGTGGAGAATCGGCCCCGGGCGGCGGGCACCCGTTTGCCCTTGTGAACATTGTTTCCCATGTTTGCATATTGGTCATACGATTACTGTGCGAAAGAGCTTTGCAAAGCATTTACCGAGTGGGATGGCCTAATGGCGAGGTGCCAGGTCATCATCCAGGAACCCAAACACGCAGTTCACGGTTGGGCTGCTACTCGTTAGCAACACAAAATTCGAGATTGATCTCATTTCACCAACTGAGGAATGTATCAAAGCCTTGCCTACGATACTGCTCGTCGGCGCAAACAGTGCCGTGGAACAGTACCATTGTCAGTGTTCTTACACAAGCTCAAGACCCTGAGTACCGCCCTCGGTGTAGCTTACGAACAATGGGTTGTACGAGACGTTGTACGTCCATCCATTTCCTGAAGCTACACCGGGGATGATCCTATATTGAATTCAAGCAGCGTGACTCCTTGGCTACACGATATTTGTCTCAACCCGCCCGCGAATGTACGTCGATGTGAGCACGATACAAATGTTCCGAATGGCAAGTATGAATCCCACCAGCCCATTGTGAAGAAGGCGGAGCCACCAACTGGAGTTTACTAAATGATTTATAGATATGCAATCTCGAAGGGCGTAGATAAATAATGGAGCGAAGAAAGGTTTCTTCTGTAACTTCCCTCCCTCGTGATAAACGAGCTCCGACGCCTTTAGAAGGCCTCATACCCCCGTTGATAGGAATCCTTGCAACTAATCAGGTCAGCTCGGGAGCTCACATCATGACTTAAGAGGCAGCGGCTACATGGCTGCCATTGGAGCGAGCAAGCGACCGGGGTTTGACACGTTTAATGCCGTGAACGGCTATCACACACGATATAAGCTGACAGACGTCGTAAGGAAACAGGATCATGTCCTACAGGACCGTTTGTAGCCAAACATACTTTAGTCCCCCTTAGCACATACATAGTACAGGATCTCACGAACACCCCCGATCGCCCAACCTAATATGCAACCTGGGCATTCAACCCGGCCAGCTCCCTCTCCCAACAACGATGCTGCGAGATGCCATAAAAGAACTTCTCCATGAACCCCCTCGCCCCCTTCGCAATGGTGACCGCCTCACCCAAGCTCTCCGGCCTCAACTCCTTGATCGTCACCACTCCATAACTCTCCTGCACCTCTCCCGACGTCGACACGGTAACACTCGGCAGGCCAATCGCCCTCTCCACCAACTCCACCGCCTCCCCCGTCGCCCCAATCGTCTTCAAATGCCCAAACGCCTCCCTCACCCAATGCAGCGCGCGCCCATTCTTTCCCAGCGTCTCCACCGCCTTCGCACCGCCCGGGATAAACACCGCGTCAACCATGGTCGACCGAAACCCCTCCAGATGATGATGCGGCTGCACCGACGCCTTCCCATCCGCCGCCACCACCTTACTCCGCCGCTGGGCAATCACCAACGGCACGGCCATGGCCGCCGACAGCGCGGCATACGCCGCATCATACGCGACCGCATCATACCCATCCGCCACCAGGATCGCAACACGGCGTGAGGCAATCGTCGGCGACGACCCCGGAAACTCAATCTGGCTGAGGGCGGGTGCGCGACGACCATGATTAGGCCGGCCCGGCTCCGTGGGGACGTCGCCGCCGACGCGCTCGGCGACGGTCTGGGCGAGGGTGAGGTCGATGTCGGCGAGGCGGTTGACCATGCGGGAGTAGACGACGGGGTCCTCGCAGTGGTCGAGCTCGAAGGCGAAGGCGGCGATGATGTGATGTTTTTCGATGGGGGTCATGCTGTTCCAGAAGAGCTGGGCCTGGCTGAAGTGGTCTTGGAACTTGGCGCTGCGGATGCGGGCTTTGATGCCGGCGACCTTTTGGGCGTACTCCACGTAGGCGCCTTCGGCGGCGCTGGCGGGCGGGCAGGCTTGGAAGCGGTTGGGCCAGTAGTTGACGGTGCCGCGAGTGATGGTGTGGCGGAGGGCGCCGTCGCGGTTGAAGTTCATGACGGGGCAGGTTGGGCGGTTGATGGGGAGTTCTTCGAAGTTGACGCCGAGGCGGGAGATTTGCGTATCGAAGTAGCTGAAGTTGCGGCCCTGGAGGAGCGGGTCGTCGCTGAAGCCGATGCCGGGGACGACGTGGCTGGTGCAGAAGGCGATCTGCTCGACCTGGGTGAAGAACTCGTCGGGGTTGCGGTTGAGCTCCATCTCGCCGATGTAGCGGGTCGGGACGAGGTCCTCGGGCCAGACCTTGGTGGCGTCGAGGATGTCAAAGTCGAACTTGTGCTCGTCGGCTTCGGGGATGACTTGGATGCCAAACTTCCATTTGGGGAACACGCCGTTCGCGATGGCTTCCCAGAGGTCCTTGCGGTGGAAGTCGGGGTCCTGGCCGCCGAGCTTGAGTGCCTCGTCCCACACTAACGAGTGCACGCCGAGTTCGGGGGTCCATGTGAACTTGACAAAGTGCCGCTCGCCCTTTGCATTGATCAAAGTAAACGTGTTGACACCAAAGCCCTGCATCATGCGCCAGGAACGAGGGATAGCCCGGTCGCTCATCTGGTGAGGTTAGCATCTGAGGCATCGTCAGGGACGGTAGGTGGATGGAGCAAAGGCTTACCGTCCACAGAAACATGTGTGTCGCTTCGGTGTGGTTAAACTGGAAGTCCCAGAAGTTGTTGTGAGCCGACTGGGCCTGGGGCACCTCGTTGTGTGGCTCGGGCTTGCCGGCGTGAATAACGTCTGGAAATTTGATGGCATCCTGGATGAAGAAGACGGGTATGTCGTTGCCGACGAGGTCCCAGTTCCCCTCTTCGGTGTAGAACTTGACGGCGAAACCACGCACGTCGCGCGCGGTGTCCATGCTGCCCCGGCTTCCTAGGACAGTAGAGAAGCGGACGAAAACAGGGGTTTCGCGCGATGTGTCGGTCAGGACCGGCGCGGAGGTGAGCTCATCGATGCCATCATACACCCTGAACTTGCCAAAGGCACCAGCGCCCCGGGCGTGAACCACTCGCTCGGGAATCCTTTCATGGTCAAATCTCATGATCTGAGATAGTCATTAGTACCGTTCCCTCAAATGATAACGGAAGCAACTCACCCTCTCGCGTGCAAAGGGGTCCTCCAATAGGAGTGGCCCTGTCTTATCTTTGCTAGCCGCCTTGAGCCAGTCATCAGCGGTACTTTGCTTGACGCCATAGTCTGTTGTCAGTCGGTCCTTATCCGTCATATCCTTGGTGTTGTGAGCGAGGTCTTTGAGCTTGTCTCCTTCGCGGGAGCCGAGCGCGGCGTGCGCCACCTTTTGCACGGATTCGGGGACGAGGCCAGCCATTACGTTGAGGGTTGAGCTTCAGAGTGAAGGGTTACTCGAGTTACCAAAGGGAGAGATTATTGGAATCAAGAAGCAGTTGTATTAGTTATAGCGAGTGAGAAACCAGCAGTTGGTCATCACTTTCCTCTTACGCATGGTCATTGATGACGTCAAGG